AGCTCTGGCGGACTTGGTTCTATGGTAGGTCTTAAAGGGTTAAAGGTCATTACTTCATTGTTAGTAGAATTAAGTGCAGTTAATGAAGCCGTTCAGTTTAGAATGCAGTCCGTCTGAAACAAGCCTCAACAAGCCAGTAGGCTAAGTTGTTTAGTCTACAGCTGCATGTTTTTAAGCCTTCTGCCTGGTTCTTCTATGACTGAGAGATACAGAAGCTCTTTAAAAAAAAGTCAATTTAGGATCCACAGATTGATGGCAGTCAGTAGTAAACAAGTATTTCATATGAGAGCGTATTGGAGGAAAGTTCTATCAGTCTGTGTGTGTGTGTGTGTGTGTGTGTGTGTGTGTGTGTGTGTGTGTGTGTGTGTGTACTGTAGGACAATGAGAGCAGAGTCAACACGTTTTTTATGAAACTATAAAAGCCAGATATGTTGTGTAGCTAAACCACAGCTAGCTGGGTGACTACCTTTTATGTTGATTGTCACTGTGAAAGGTAAATCTTTGCATTACTGACAGAGCTGCTTAGCTCAACTATCAACACCATTTCATATTGTACAGAATTTAGTAACATGGATCATGTTAGCTGCTGAAGTAATTTGGCAAGCTGATAAACTAGCATTTCTACCGGGATATGACTTTGCTAGTGATAACGTTAGCAATGAAGCCGAACAAATGACTATCCAGCTAGCTATGACTGATCTACACTGCATGCAATTGTTAGATTTGTGACCAGAGAACAGAGAAGAGGTCAGGACCAGTTTTAATCTGAACACTTCCTAAATGAATCATGCTCAGCTGAGACTGATTTTAATCTTCCCTGGCTTTGGATTAGACCATTGATGGATATTTTTGTTTTTATGGTACCACTTGTCATAGGTGCTTAATTCACTATGAAAGTTGAATGAAAACAGCATTTCCTTGACTTTGTAACTAAGAATTTCACTTTAAAAGTATTATTATTGTGATGGTCAAGCAGAAGCCCCACTATGATTTGAGATGGAATACCCTGTTTAAGAAGTAAATCACAGTTGCAGCACTGACTGGCGGCTGAAAACAGACTCTTCTGGTGTCTTATAAAGTACTACAGTAATAGTAAAATGAACCCCTGTAAACTCAAACTCTGTCTCAATCAGATGGAAATGGAGCGGAAAGCATTGGCACACCCACCTCACCATTGCCCACTCCGGGGAACGGAGGCATTGCCCAGCCCAAGAAGATCAAAGGAGTCGGCTTCGGAGATATTTTCAAAGATGCTTCTTACAAAAAACGTCACTCAGTGCAAACCCCTGACAAAGAGGAGAAGAACGAAAATGTAAGTGCGATTTACACCACAGTAATGGCAGACATCAGGCAAAAGCTCCTTGCCATAAATCGAGCTGCCACACGTTTTTTTTTTTTTCCCCCCGTTTTTCCTGCAGTTATAGAAATCATGATATTGTGGATTTCCTTGTATCAAGCATCACAGAATGAGTGTTTGATTAATACCATGCATTACTGAGGGCAGTGTGTCATAATATTATTGTGACATGACAGCATTGTTTCTAAGTGGTTTAGTTTTGTATCCTTATGTTATTTGACTTTGTTCTGGTAACCATATCGTAACGACATCAAATCCTTATATTACTGTGATAATATCACATCTTGATATTGTGACAGTATTGTACTGTAATAGTATCATGTCTTATTGTGATAGTATCATGTTGTCACAATATTCGATCCTAAAAGTATCACATTGCGAAAATATTGTGTCATATCTTGACAACATCAGGCCATGATAGGATTATATTAGGACAGTATTATTACATGATCTTAGTGTGCTGTATGTTTCTGTTGGTTGACACCCCATGTGTGATTCAAGTCATATCTGTAATGATTATTTTTATGTTAGCTTGTCAGCTCTTCTGTTCAGTCTGACACTCATGAGGCTTATATATTACTGTGGACACTGAAGGACCATACCTACATTAATGTTTATTTTAATGAACACACTTGTTGCTATCATCACAGTAAGTCCAAGCCGGAACTTTCACCTTCACCTGACACTATTTTAAGCCACAGCTTGTGTCAAGTATAATTTTCTCAAATGTGGAAAGAGTAAATCCCAGCCTGCTCCTGATAAACAACTCGATGCATAAGCTCAGTGAATAATTAGTATAGCGTTTATTGTTTTTCTGAAACTTTGCCTCTCTCTCTCTCTCTTCTTCACAACAGCTTTCACACTCTGTCTTTATCACTAGCTCAGCTTCCCCCACTCTCCTCCACTCCTTACATACCACCACATTTCACATGTTCTCCCACAGTCTTCTTCACAGCTTCAGGTATCTTCATGTGACCTTCATCATCCCTCATACACTACTTTGACTTATTGCACCTTTTAGGGGACACCCCCCCCCCCCCCCGACTTCACTCAAATAAACCCCCAAAACCTTAAAAACTGATTCATACCTATTCCTTTTAGCACCTCATTGTTGCTGGCTTTCAAACATTTCTCAGGATTCTTTATCCTCATGCTCTGTTTTTCTTGCCTGTGACTGAAGCACTTGTCATTCTTCTTTCCTGCTGCGTCCTATGATCCGTAACTATTAATGTCATAATTAGCAACACAGTCCATCCGATGTCCTTTTAAAAAAAAGAAAAAAAAAAGAAAAGAAAGAAAGCTGTTTGGATTATTCCACTCATTTCAGTTCAGACACACTGTTCAACAGACAACACGCCTCCAAACACTGTCCACTCATGTCTGATAAATCATTCCCATCTGTATGGTTTGCTTCATTTTAGCCAATCCCATCAATACCCCTTGCTGCAAAGCCCGCCCCTCCCAACACGACAGATTCACAGAAAGCAGATGGAGACAGCAAAGCCAAAGGTAACACACTACAAACATACTTCAGGTGCATTAGTGTAATATCTGTCACCAGTCTATAGATCTGTATGAGAGTGATGTTTGTCTTTTTGTTTATCTTTTTGTGAGATTTATTGATTTTAAATACTGAAAACCTTGGTTCAAAACAGTCTACAGAGTGGAATTGCAAGCCTTAAAATGTACTGTAAAATCTGAAGTGTGATCTACATGCATCCCTTTCTGCTGAGGGGTATTGATTATGGAGGAGTATGGAGCAGCACTGACCAATTAGCTGCCACCATGCAAAAAAGAGTCACCTGTGCGTGTTTATATTAATGAACCTAAATGAAGCATTAGTGCATTACTGGTGATGTTGTTAAAGCGTTCAGCATATCTGTGAGCTACTGATATTTTGGTGGATCTGATGCAGCTTTGCATTTGTTGACAAGATGTAGTTGGAACTATTTCCCACATGCAGTAACCCTCTGTAGATTATTTCAGAAAATTAACAAGCAACAAACCTGCAACAAATCTGGTAGAGGTGAGTTTTTCTCGGTGGCAGTGGGTTCTTAACTTTCTATGAAAAGGACTATGTGAAATGAATCTAAGTGTACATCATTAAGCCCAGAGTAAACCTGGCCATGTGCAGTACCTGATAGATGTATTAGTCTGCCCCCCAGTGTAGTATTTAGGCCACAGCTGTCCCACATTAACAGTATTGGTAAGAAATCCCTTTTATGCTTCTGTCATGGTCAATCCACCAGTATGCACAGGTGCTTTCATCTGAATTTTTTTAATGCTAAAATATAATAATAAGTATTAGTATTATTATTATCCATGAATTTACAGAGTAAATAATGAAGCACATGATCATTTTTTGATTCAGATGCCAAATCAGTTATTTGCTTGCATTCTTGGACAGAAAGTATAGCCTTTTTGTTTGAATATTCTGTTTGATTAAATGTACTGAAGCTTTAAGTACTAGACACAGAAGGATCAGATCAGTTGTCGGTTCATATAACAATAAGACAATGACCCAAGCAGGCTTCAAAGCTGTGCAGAGACCCAGAAGAAGGAATCTGGAGTGCTGGAACTGATGGGCCAACCAGGTCAAAGTCCGGACTATTAAACAAATCTGGAATTTAGTGGATTCAAAGGTAATCAGACAGCTAACCTATGGGAACTAATAAAAGAAACTGTCAAAGTGCATAAAAACAATGCCAGAATACCAAATGTTATCAAGGCCAGAGGAGGTTGCATGAAAATATTTCTATGGTCACACTGTGTGAATAAGGACCATGTTAATTGCCCAAAAATGTCAAAATAGTGTCTATAGTTTTAAACACGTTTTTGGCATTTTTCTAAAATATTTGTGTGTCTAATAAACGTGTTAAATGGTAAATAGTCATGTTTTTTTACAGCACTCAAAGCACATTCTATAACATTCATAAGCACTTTTTCTACATGTCAGTGCTTTCTGTCCAATGTTCACACATTTACACTTGGTAGTTTAAGAATATAATCCACCCACTGCTATCATCTTCAATGCCCTGTACCAACATAGAGCAGAGCAGCTATCTGAACGCTAC